TGACTAAATACTTTTTTTGCCCCACTGTATATATATATATATATATATATATATATATATATATATATATATATATATACCTTTTATATATATATATATATATATATATATATATATATATATGAAGGCCGGACGGTCCTGATCCCCAAGGACCCCAAGAAAGGACCGGTCCCCTCCAACTACCGACCAATAACCTGCCTCAGTACTACATGGAAGCTCCTGTCAGGCATCATATCGGCTAAGATGAACAGGCACATGGGTCAATACATGAGCGGGACACAGAAAGGAATTGGCAAGAATACCAGAGGTGCAAAACACCAGCTACTGGTAGACAGAACAATCAGCCGAGACTGCAAGACCAGACTGACCAACCTGTGCACTGCCTGGATTGATTACAAGAAGGCCTATGACTCAATGCCCCACAGCTGGATACTGGAATGCCTAGAATTGTACAAGATCAATGGGACCCTAAGAGCCTTCATCAGGAACTCAATGGGGATGTGGCGTACAACACTAGAGGCCAACTCCAAGCCCATAGCACAAGTTACCATCAAGTGCGGGATCTACCAAGGAGATGCTCTGTCCCCACTGCTGTTCTGCATAGGCCTGAACCCCCTCAGTGAGATCATTAACAAGACTGGCTACGGATACCGACTACGGAACGGAGCAGTTGTCAGCCACCTCCTGTACATGGATGACATCAAGCTGTATGCCAAGAGCGAACGAGACATCAATTCACTGATCCACACTACCAGGCTATACAGCAATGACATTGGAATGTCGTTCGGACTGGAGAAGTGTAGTCGGATGGTAACAAAGAGAGGGAAGGTAGTCAGAACTGAGGGGATTGAACTACCAGAAGGCAACATTGCAGACATAGAAGACAGTTACAAGTACCTGGGGATCCCGCAGGCAAATGGGAACCATGAAGAGGCCGCTAGAAAGGCTGCAACCACCAAGTACCTGCAGAGGGTCAGGCAAGTCCTGAGGAGTCAGCTGAATGGTAAGAACAAGATCCGGGCCATCAACACGTACGCCCTGCCCGTGATCAGGTACCCTGCTGGGGTAATAGGCTGGCCAAAGGAGGAGATAGAAGCCACTGACATAAAGACAAGAAAGCTCCTGACCATGCATGGAGGGTTTCACCCCAAGTCCAGCACCCTGAGGCTGTACGCTAAGCGGAAGGAAGGGGGCCGGGGACTGGTGAGTGTCAGCACCACAGTCCAGGATGAGACAAGGAACATCCAAGAATACATTGGGAAGATGGCCCCAACTGACCGAGTGCTCAGTGAATACCTCAGGCAGCAGAAACCCAAGAAAGAGGAGGGAGACGAGGAACCATCATGGAAGGACAGGCCCCTGCACGGTATGTACCACCGGCAGATAGAGGAGGTGGCTGATATCCAGAAATCCTACCAGTGGCTGGACAAAGCTGGACTGAAAGACAGCACAGAGGCACTAATCATGGCAGCACAAGAACAAGCTCTGAGTACAAGATCCATAGAGGCTGGGGTCTATCACACCAGGCAAGACCCCAGGTGCAGGCTGTGTAAAGATGCCCCAGAGACTATCCAGCACATAACAGCAGGGTGCAAGATGCTAGCAGGCAAGGCATACATGGAACGCCATAACCAAGTGGCCGGCATAGTGTACAGGAACATCTGTGCCGAGTATAACCTAGAAGTCCCGAGGTCAAAATGGGAGATGCCCCCAAGGGTGGTGGAGAATGACCGAGCTAAGATCCTGTGGGACTTCCAGATACAGACGGACAAAATGGTGGTGGCTAACCAACCGGACATAGTGGTGGTAGACAAACAGAAGAAGACGGCCGTAGTGATCGATGTAGCGGTTCCGAATGACAGCAATATCAGGAAGAAGGAACACGAGAAGCTGGAGAAATACCAAGGGCTCAGAGAAGAGCTCGAGAGGATGTGGAAGGTGAAGGTAACGGTGGTCCCCGTGGTAATCGGAGCACTAGGTGCGGTGACTCCCAAGCTAGGCGAGTGGCTCCAGCAGATCCCGGGAAAAACATCGGAGATCTCTGTCCAGAAGAGCGCAGTCCTGGGAACAGCTAAGATACTGCGCAGGACCCTCAAGCTCCCAGGCCTCTGGTAGAGGACCCGAGCTTGAAGGATAAACCGCCCGCAGGGGCATGCTGGGTGTTTCATATATATATATATATATATATATATATATATATATATATATATATATATATATATATATATATATATATATATATATATATATATATATGAGCGTGGCTGGCAAGAAAGGGTATAATAAAAGAAGAAAAACTAATGACATGGCCACCTTGTTCACCTGATCTGAACCCCATTGAGAACCTGTGGTCCATCATCAAATGTGAGATTTACAAGGAGGGAAAACAGTACACCTCTCTGAACAGTGTCTGGGAGGCTGTGGTTGCTGCTGCACGCAATGTTGATGGTGAACAGATCAAAACACTGACAGAACCCATGGATGGCAGGCTTTTGAGTGTCCTTGCAAAGAAAGGTGGCTATATTGGTCGCTGATTTGTTTTTGTTTTGTTTTTGAATGTCAGAAATGTATATTTGTGAATGTGAAGATGTTATATTGGTTTCACTGGTAAAAATAAATAATTGAAATGGGTATATATTTGTTTTTTGTTAAGTTGCCTAATAATTATGCACAGTAATAGTCACCTGCACACACAGATATCCCCCTAAAATAGCTAAAACTAAAAACAAACTAAAAACTACTTCCAAAAACATTCAGCTTTGATATTAATGAGTTTTTTGGGTTCATTGAGAACATGGTTGTTGTTCAATAATAAAATTATTCCTCAAAAATACAACTTGCCTAATAATTCTGCACTCCCTGTACTAATACAGTGGGATGCAAAAGTTTGGGCAACCTTGTTAATAGACATTATTTTCCTGTATAAATCGTTGGTTGTTACAATAAAAAATGTCAGTTAAATATCATACAGGAGACACACACAGTGATATTTGAGAAGTGAAAAGAAGTTTACTGGATTTACAAAAAGTGTGCAATAATTGTTTAAACAAAATCAAGCAGGTGCATACATTTGGGCACCACAAAAAAAGAAATGAAATAAATATTTAGTGTATATCAATGTGTGTGTCTCCTGTATGACATATGGGGTGCCTTTGTCTGGACGTGCTTCCCATCCAGAGCTCCACAGCAGAGAGGGAAGTTTCAGCGCTCCTGGAATCCCTCTGCGATGGACCGCCAGTCTCCAGGTGAAGGCACAGCCATGAAATCATCCACTAGACAGTCCCAGATGGCCGTCGCTACCTGGGGGGTGATCTGGCACACCGTGGACACACCAACTCTAAAACTAAACACGATGGTCCTGAAGGAGTCCCCGGTGGCAAGGAACCTGCACAAAATTGTTTAAAATTAGTATTAAACACTTTTACTAACCCCAGGCAGATGGACAGGTATGGCAGCAAGCATTATGTGTTCACTCTCTGCCTGGAGTTTTGAGGGGGGCTGGGGAAGGGGGTCAGTGTGGCAGTTTTTTCATCGTGGCCAATCACAGACAGAGTGGGAGCTTGTCCTATGGCTAGTGCTACTTTCACTTGCAGTCGTAAATATCAATTTCACACGTGTTGTTGATGAATACCAGCTGGCTCTAAACCCGATTTCACCTGTCACTGTAACACATCCAGTGTTGGGGAGTAACGGAATACATGTACCGCCGTTACGTATTTAAAATACAAAATATGAGTAACTGTATTCCGTTACAGTTACTGTTTAAAAAGGTGGTATTCAGAATACAGTTACTTTGTTGAAATAAATGGATTACACTGCGGTACTTTCCTGTTTCATTTTGTCGCGGGTCAGGACTGTTTGGGTTTTGTTTGACAGCTACGTTCTGTTGTTCCAGGCGGCAGCGTTACGGTTGCCATGGTTACAGGGCGACGCTCTCTCTCTCTCTGCGACTGTGTGTTTCCTGGGTGAGAGAGCGCCTTTTGTTGTTGTTGTTGTTGTGCTAAGCTAACAGGCAGAATGCTACAAGCATAGCTCTAAAGAATGTAGCATCACGGGCAGTGTAGTCCGTGTTGCAGGGAGAATGGACTGCCATACACGTTATGTGTCTGTGAGCGCGAGGAGGGAGAAAAAGGGGAGTGGAAAGGTACGAGTTGTCATCGAGCAAAAACGGGAGCTGGAAACATGTAAATGTAATAATAACCACTTCAGCCAAGAAGAGTGCCTGACGAGCCCAGTTGTAAGTAAGCTATTAAGACTTGACTGTACACTGTGTTCATGTTTTCCTCCGAAACAATAAATTCCGTTGGAGCAGCCTTTCAACGCCTCTCTCTGTCTCTCGCAAGAAAAGTTGACCCACACAACAAAGTAAAACTATTTTTCGGCTACGAGCAGACAGGGACCCCGCTGTATTAGTCAGAGGTCCCTTTACTACAGTTCGGAGTCGCGGACCTTCAGTAATAGTAATAAATCACACAGCAATAGTACATTCACGTTGTTGTAAAAAGCATGCTAATCTATTAAGTAATCCAAAGTATCCAGAATACGTTACTGTCATTGAGTAACGTAACGGAATACGTTACAGAGTACATTTTGGGGCATGTATTCTGTATTCTGTAATGGAATACATTTTAAAAGTAACCTTCCCAACACTGAACACATCACATATTACTGAGATGCATTAGATATTTTATGATCTTTATTTTTGACTTATCAGCTGCAAACTCCATAGATTTTTAACATTTACCAGGTTTGCAAATATAAAAACGTATTGGCTCTTTGAAGTTTAGAAATAAAAAACAGATTGTAAATAATCAACTTTTAATGGCAAAACAGTGACATCATCATTATTATTATTGTTGTTATTATTATTATTATTTTAGAAACATGAAGTGCATTGGATTACTACTGTGTAATCATAAAGTTGTAAGGTGAAGGAGGCGTTTTTACGAGCAGCACCTGAAGGCAACACAGTTCCCAAGGAGAAAGCCGCAAAAGCAAGAGGTCGCGTATCCGGGATCCTTCGATAGAAATCCATCAAAAGAGCACGAGGGAGGGACAGAGTGAACGAACGGCCGTGTGGCACGCGGTTTTACGTTAGTGTCGTTATCGATCCACCTGGAGGGAGCCGGTCTGTGTGCAACCGGCATCAGATTCTTAATAGTGAGGAGCTGCGAGGATTGAACCTGCTCTGTGAATCTGAGCCCACGTATAAAACGAGACGTTTTCTTCTGATGTGATGGAGGGGGAAGCGTTCTGGGAGTAACTTTGAGTAAGTAAAAAGATTAGGATGTATTTTGTCGTTTGAATTAGAAGAGCGGTAACAGCTGATTGATGCTGGCAGCTGCATCACCAGGCAGTCAGGTTCAGAGTCACTGGAGCGATCCCTGCAGTGATTTGTGAGTGCTTTTGGTCCTCAGCTGGTATGACTGACCTGCACATAGCTGCTTGAAGCTTTCTTTCCCCATCACTATATTAATTATACACGTAGTATTCTTTGTAACAACCCAGGATAGGGTACTTTGTGTTATGTTTATGTTTTTTCCACACACAGGGTTAAATTTTTAATTTCGTGACTGTTCATATTACCATAGTGCTACTTTATATTTTTTTACTTCTTTTGCTCCTTGAGTGATTAATTAATAATTTATTATTATTACTAACAAAACTGCAAATCACAACTTCAGAGTTCTTTCATTCTCAAGTAAAACATCTTACTTATATAGGATCAAATCACAACAACAGTTGCCTCAGGGTGCTTTATACTTTAAAGTAAGAACCCTACAATAATACAGAGAAAACCCCAACAATCAGACGACCTACAGATGACCCAGCGACAGTGGGAAGAAAAAACTCCCTTTTAACAGGAAGGACTCTCCGGTAGAACCAGACTCAGGGAGGGGCGGGGCCATCTGACAAAGACACTGTGGAAGAGAGCCAGTGCGGCTATTCTTGTATCTATTATTTAATTAATTGCCTTTTGAAGCTTGGGAATGAAATTTCTGCTTCAAGTAAAGTGTACATAAAAATGGAAATTAGAACATTTCAGCATATTTTAAATATTGATAGCTTCAGCAAAGCCAAGATATGAAATTTAGTCATATATAAGTTCTTACATTCCAAGAACACAATAACTAGAAAATATTTTGTATTTTAGTCTTTATGAATAAACGAAAAATTATTTCATTTTACAAATTGCACTTTTTGCAAAAATTAGCAGTTTTTGTGTTTGTAGTGAAAAACTGACTCGCACATGGTGCTTGTTGGTTTAACGGCAAATTGGGACATTTTCAGGTGAGGAGAGTCAGAGCAATGAATATGTTATATAGCCAAGATGGGAGAGTGTAGAACAACGCAGCTACACAACAGTGATTGTATTTGTCTTCATTATCTGCTTTCGCTCTGTGATGCCATTTAGTAAATGAAATAGGAAAACATTGCAGTAATATCTTATTTCCCTTGTGGAATCTGCGGAGTCTCGCAGTTTTACCCTCGGGGCTCCTTTAGTACAGCATTTTTCGGGATGACTGGGCCTCAGCAGTCATCCAAGCCATGACTGGAAATACCTCTAGGATTGATGGGAATACTGGCTAAAATCCAGACTGCAATCAGATAATTTTAATGAAACTGTTATACTCTTGCAGCAGTTTTCTTTGTTTTCTACAAATAAAAAAATACAGTATGAAAGACCTCAGGCTTGCTGTGCATACATATTTTATGCCTGTGGACTTAGTAGGAGGTGTTTTTAGTTTTTTTTCCCACCAAAATAAGAGCCACATGACTCTACCTGAATTGTTACTGGTGCTCTATCAAAGGCATTTCCCACTGGACATGAGTTACTGCACCCTGAAGCCTTTTAGTGCAGTGCTTGCACAGCTTTGGGTATGTTTTTAGGCAGAAAGGATTTACTCATTAAGAGAAATCAAATTCTTGGCAAATTGATTTCTTTTGCCAGTAAACCCTCACTATTGCTGTCTCTTCCATTTTCGTTCTCATTTTCTGTGAAAGAATTGAACTGAAGCCTTTTATTGAGACTCTGCCGTCTTAAACGAACCTATCAAGCAGTTTCACTCTGTAAATCATCGGGTAGGGAGATTACATTTAATTGTAGATGTTTCAGTACCGGCTTTGCATTAGGGAATTTGAACTTGTGAACTAAAATTCGAAGATTCTGGCTGCAGCGCCTAATCTTTCATTCGTAAAGACTTTATGCCCATCTGATGTTGGCAACAGATGTTAAGCAAATTTAAGATAAACTTGCTCTGAGGGTGTTTATTGCTTGATAGGCTAACGCTCAGCTCTGCGAGAGGTCTCACACTGAAGAGTCTCAAAGATTTTCCTCCTCAGAGTCTGGCTTTATTGCTCCCTATCTGATCTCTGCATGGACTCAGTCGGTGCAGTGATGTGATGAAAGGCCAAGCGGTGGACCTACAGACTCTCACAGCTTCATGCAAGCTACGCACACACACACAGATATGCACAGCCAGCTAAACAAAGTCAATTATATTAGGTGAGTCTGTCAGGCTAAGCTGGGAGAAATGCGTGGAAGGTATACTAAAGGGCCTAGGCTTCTAATACTAATGCGCATACTTGTGACAGGCATTATAAAATACTGGCTTTGTTTTGGAGAAAGATCAGCCTGACTGGACAGAGTTTAATTACCTTCCATTTACTCATTGCTTCAGATCAGGCACTTTTTTAGTCCATTCACTTCCAATTACTTTGTTCCTTAGTGATGATCATTAGTGTGGTCATTAAAGGATTAGTTTCTATGATATGAGCCTTTTCTGTTTTTTGTACAATATACAAATAATGACCAGGAAATTAAAACAGTGTCACTGCAGTGTTAGCTTGCATATGATTACTGTTTACGATTAGCTTACAGTCTTTGTAGAAATAATGATTTTTGCCATCCAGTTGATTTCTTTAACAAGCACGATGCTTGTGAGTAGAGTTTAGTTTGGAAAAAAAAGACGTTAACATGTCAGATATTTGAAAAATTGTAGTCGCTGGGTAGGCTATGTAAAACTATACATGTATAAAAAAGGAGCAGCTGTACAGCGAAATACATACTAAGAAAACCCATACAAATTAAAACCACGTTATTCCAAAGATTGCTCTCAAACTGTCGCTTGTTCAAATTGGCTATTTTGTGCAACATGTGGTGAACAAAATGAATACTGAGAACATGGATCACTGCACTAAACATCAGTTTAAATATATTTAATGTGTGATTTACATACAGAATTAAAGTAATATATTGGTATCTTTGGTCCTGTGGCTTCAAGTTATTAAATCAAATTTATTGCTGGAGAGTTCTTATTTATTTTGATGTTGATTTTGATGTTTTGGTAGAGCATCGTTAAAGTCTGTGTGCAAATGGGTCTCTGTGTCAGTCCTGTAAAAGCCCGGTAATTTGTCGAAAGTATACCCAGCATCCTGGCCAAGGTTAGATAGGCTTCAGCCACCATGACCTTCACAGTGTACGCGAGTATAGATAATGAACAGATGATTTACGTTACACCACAGAAATGTCTTATCACCGAGGTGGATTTTTTTTTCAGGAAATTACCATTTTTATCATAACACAACACAGAAAAGAGTCTGTAAGAACGTACACAAAACATTTCTGCTTCATTATTGGCGCCATGTAGAAGGCATTCAGCCTTGATTCAAGAGGGAGCACCTGTAAAGAAAACTGAGGAAAATTTAAAAAATACATCCCAAATGATGCGCCGCAAAAGCTCACCCACATATCAGGTTTGATCGGAATGCATTTATCAGGTCTTTGTCTTTGTTATGTTGGTTTTTGGAATTCAAGGCAAAAACAACAATGATAAGAAGAACATGTTGGAGGCAGCCAAGCAGCCTCAAACCTCATAGAGTGAACTCTTCTTCTCCCCCGAGAACCTCCTTTGTTTTTGTGTCCTGCCTTCAGGATAAACTATAATGCATCCCCCTGTGTCCTGTTAGAACATCAGTCACAGCTGCATGCTCAGCCACATGAAGGCAGCTTGACTGACAGTGTGAATGAGCATTCATTTTTTCCCAGTGCTCCCCCCTTTTAGCCATGAACACCACCAACAAAGGCGTTGTGCATGGATGACAGTCCGGGATCTCCTATACCAACGATGGGCAACCCCTAATTACCAGTGGAGTAATTAAAAATGTGGCAGCTGTGGCAACAGTCATGTGCTTCTAGGAAACCATCGAGAAATGCCCAAAGTAAAACAGTTAACAAGCCTCTTAAAGCTGGATGCACGCACCCTCAAAATATTGCAGCACACTCTTGCAGTTTTCAATGTTCAAAGTCAGAGTGAACTATTCCAGTTGAGCAGTTTTGAGTGATGCAGTTCACGTTGGGTCATACAGAGGTATTAGTTGCGTTTTCTGAGGGAACAGGAAGGCTGGAGTGAAAACGAAAACATAAGAGGCAGACTGAAGAGCAGGAAGGTCACTCGATAAAATGCTAATACAAGTGCTTTGGGTCTATGTGCTGTCAAGTCTGACGAAGAAGGGTGGGCTTGTTGGCTTCAAGATCTCTCCAAATAAGCCCACAGAAAGCACAACTCTTACAAGCTCTTGCACGGACAGACACACATTCAGCAGTTTGTTAAAAAAGAAAAAAAGAGTGCAACTAATGACATTGATAGTTTATCAGTCTCCTTCTCCACAAACATTTACTTATTCTGACCATGAGAATCCCAGCCTTGGGCTTCAAATGTTTTTACTCCAGCATAGTTTACATGTAGTGTATTTTTGTTTGGTGTTTTGAGTTGATTCCTATTTTCTGAGGTTCATCTTCAGCTTCAATTTCAGTACTGTACTTTAAACTAGTGGTCGGTAATTGTTACTTACCGGTACTTATGCTTTTACAGACAAAACCTAAAAACTTAGACTTAGATAGATTTTTAGACTAAATTATCAAAATGTATGTTTAATAGTCAAAATCACATTAAGTGCATCAGTAGTAGTCATCCTGCACAATAATGCTCAATAATCCAGGTAAGTAAATCCCAAAAGGTTGATCCCGTTTATGTGGACGTAGCGATTTCAGTGGGAGAAACGTTCCGTCACTCATCCAAGTGACTTCTTCAGTCTCAGCTGACTGCAGGTTTCCCCAATCTTATAAACAGTACATTTGCACAATAACTGAAACTAACCCACTGAATGAACAATGGGCTGTGAGGTCAGTTCCTTGATCATTAATATGCAAACTGTCATGACCATTGATCAAGAACCATTGATCAAAGACCACTGATCAATGGCCAT